GCTCTTCCGATCTCCCCAAAACCCCAAAACCCCAAAACCCCTTGAGTAGAGAATTCATGTTTTATCGGGATAAATATTGATCAATCGTAAATTATAAATTTCTTGATTTTCCATAAAATATAAATAATAATATATCTATTAAGGTTAAGATATGCAAAAAGCTGCTTTTAGCAAACCTACTGCTCTAAAAACTCAACCTAAAATGGGTTTCGATGTTCTCTATGAATTCAAGAAGCGAACTATGGAGAGAGTAGACGCTGCCTAGAAAAATATTAAATGGTTACCTCTTAAAGATCCAAAGAAGGAAGTCCTAAATTAAATGAAGGGTATCATCAATGACATGGCAAATTTGATTACCGATCAATCTTTTATTGAATTGGTTGACACTTTCAAGAAAGACATTGGCTACAGAGATCCGTTATTCGATGAAACATAAAGACTTGGAATTATCAAGTAAGAGAATGTCTCTATCCTAAGAGATTAATTCTAATATCAACTAAATAAAGTCAAGTTAGAGCAAAAACTTCACAACTAGGAAAATTTAGAGGCACTAGCCAAACTTGGAACTAAAATTGAGATACTGAAGAATTAAGAAGGAAGCTAGAGTTCTGAAATTCATAAAGATGTCTCCTCCATTAAGGATTAAACCTCATACATGATGTCTTAAATTGATTAAATCAAGAATATGTTGCAAAACCAAGAATTAAAACATAGATTGACATTTAAAATTACAAAAGATGCAATAGAGAGATCTTAATCAATAACAGCAGCACATTAGTTTGAAGAAGTAAAAGATTAGTCAAAGTAAGATGAATCAGTTCTAAATGATTTGAAAGTTGAAAGAGTCACACAAATTCTTAATGAAGTAATATAGTAGCATGGGGAGTAAGCCTCCACCTATCTAAATCTGAAAGAGTTACTTGTATTCCTACAGTCTAACAATAGTGAATTGGTAGATCAGCGATCTTTTAACTTTACATATTCTCAAGCAGATTTAGGTACATTTAAAAGAAGATCTAGCTTTGATGAAAGCAGAATTGATAGTGATGAAGATGATGCCTTTTAGATAGCTAAACAAGATTCTATTGATCGTTCAGAATCTGGTTAAGACACAGGAAAACATAGTTCTGGCAGTCATAGTTTTAGAGTATTTGAAACTAGAAACTCATTCCTTCAGTAAACTGCTAAAAACTCAAATTTTGATTCAGTTATATAGTAAAATTGCCTATTCTAAAACTCAGACAAAAATATTATCATTGGATTGAATCAAAGTTGGTCAAAAGTTTAATAAATTGATGACGGTGATACATTCAAAAAACTAGAACTTGGAGCAAGTCTCATATCAATGTTCAAAGTATAAAACTATTTAATTTGTGGACTCTCTAATTCAGAGTTGAAGATTTTGAACAGTGATCAATATGAATAGGTTGCTGTAGTAAAACTAAATTGTAGAGCAAACAAATACTTAGCATAGCATGTTCCTGCTCTAGGCAGCTGCTTGTTTGTCTTTTGTGAAAATGGCTTTATTGAAATAATTTCGATTCAAGATTTCAAGTTGATTTAAACAATCTAACATAAAAGCAAGTTAAGTATTTCAGATGCTCAAAGAACTTAAAATCAAGATGAATATATGCTTTCATTTGCCTAGTAGGAAAAAGGAACCTTCACTAATGGAATGCTCGCTGCCATAAAGATCAAACCAAAGCAAATATCTAGCTATGAATTTGATGGAGAATTTTAATTCCAGTATGAGGAGGTAGCTAATAGTGAAAAAGTATTCTTAAAAGATGGGAAGCCACAGCCAGTTTTTTGTTTCTAGGAAATAATACCTGACATTTATCTTGTATGTACCACTGAAAAGTACTTCAAATACTACGATAGAAGATCCAAACAAATAGATTCATCAAAAGACATTTTTAATCCAAGTGAAGCAATCAATTATAACTGCCTCCAAAAAGTTGCATTTTTCTCTAACAAACATCCTTATTTAATCTATAAGGACTCAAGAAGCATTGGCTTTATAAATTGTGTCACTAATGAGATACAAAAACTCTTTGATTGCACATACAAAAGAGGAGGCAACCTTCATTCAATGATTTAAGAGGCACAATCTGAAGACACTCTCGAAATAGTAAGTTTGATATACAAGCCAAAGGATAATTTAGGGCCAGAAGAAAGAAAGTTTGGACATTATTCCATCACCTTTGAGTGAGAAGTTTCATAAAAATCTATGACTTCGTTTTTTTAACAAATTCTACATTATAAATTACTTTTTTTGATAAGATAATCCAAATATGATTATTTATTATCTCTCATTAAATAAGCAAAGTGGGGTTTTGGGGTTTTGGGG